TTCGTAAATATAGGTATCAGAGCTTTCGATTTCTTGGCACTCATGGCGAAAGGAACTAGGTCTAATGGTGATACTATTAATGAAAATTCACATTCTGACATGGATGAACTGAGAAAAATAATGCATAAAATATTAGCAGAGATAGGAACTATCACTAGGGAGGTAGCACATCTGAAGGGATTAGATCAAATAGTACACGAGCTAAATGAACAAATCACAACTTCAAGATAAAGGCAAAGAGGTAAAATTCCATTTGAGAATGATGAGGGACCTTCTGGAGTAAGGCAATCGAGGGAAAGATCACAGGGTGATAGAAGTCCTAACAATACTCACAATCACAATTCAAATCCTTCTTAATGGTCAAGGATGGGTTCTTGAGATTTGCAGGTGAGGACCTAAATCTTGGTTGTTTAAAATTGAACAATGTTTTTCAACGGAAAGAGTACCCATGAATGAGAGAATTAGAGTTGTTGCTTTACAATTAGAAGAGATGCCATCCAATGGCATCTATCCTTCATGAAATATAGACAATATATTCAACATGCCACTTGGAATAAATATGTAATGGCTCTGATTGAAAGGTTTGGTACTGATTTTGATGATCTTATGGAGGAAATCAAGAAGATCAAACAATTGGGAAGTGTGAAGGAGTATCAAGCTATCTTCGAAAGAAACTTGACTAGGGTGACTCTATCACAAGAGAATGACATCGGTTGCTTTATTGGGGGGCTCAATCCTGAGTTGAATATTGTAGTGAAAATCAGCAATCCTACAACTCTATCACATGTGTACAAGGCTGCTATAATGCAGGAGGCATACCTCTCAGTCATCAAATAAACTACACCTGGCCAATCTACTTACACAAACTCACCAAAGAAATACATGGAGCCAATGAGTTATAACAAACCAATCTTTCATAATCCTAACACTGAAAAGGTTCATAAAAGGAGGTTGATTCCATAAGAAATGAATGAGAAGAGAGCAAAAAGATTGTGCTTCTTCTGTGATGAGAAATACACTGTTGGCCATAAATTCAAGAATGTTAAGCAGTTATATCTTCTAGAACTTGTAGAACAAAAAGATATAGAATAGTCATAGCAGGAGGAAACACAAGATGAATTGACAGTGCAGGGTCTTGACTCACAACATATGGCAGAATGGATGGAAATTTTTATCAATGCACTCAATGGATCATTTGGGTATATGATTTTGAAGGTTGACGTATGAAGTTCTCATAACTTCATTGATCCAACAGTAGTGGAGCAATTAGGATGCCCCATTAAAATTCACCTCAATTGGTGGTTGCAGCTAATGGTGTAATGAAGGTGGATAAGGTTTGCAGGATTTCTTAGCTATTACACGGTGCATAATTCTTAGTTAAGTTCCTGATACTACCACTAGGGTCCTGTGGAGTAGTACTGGGGGGGGGGGTACAATGGTTGCTTACATTGGGGGATATTAAAATGAATTTCAGAAAGTTGACCATAGAATTCGTTTACAAGGGAAAGAAGCATAGTCTGAGGGGAGCTGGCAGATATATATATTGAGTCCTGGAGCTGGAAAATTGGCCAAAATCATAGGTAATCACTTAGAGCTTTGCATGATTCAATTAATAACTACCATTTGTAATGAAGTGCAGTGGTATTCCTTAGAAGCTAAAGAAATGACTAAACCTGATCATAAGTTGTTGACTGTACTACGTGAGTTTAGAACACTCTTCGATGAACCTACTTAATTGCCCCCATCTAGAGGTATATTTGATCATAGAATAGTCTTAAAAAATGGTAATGGACCAATCAATAAGAGACGCTACATGTATCCATTAGTTAAAAAGGATGTGATTAAAGATTTAGTTAAACAGATGCTAGATCAGGGAATTATTCAATCCAACAGTAGCCCTTTTGCTGCTCTTGTGGTATTGGTTGGGAAGAAAGATGGGATTTGGAGACTCTGTGTTGATTATAGGGATTCGAATAAGGATACTATGAAGAACAAGTTCCCTATACCTATTGTAGAGGACTTGTTGGATGAACCAGAAGGGTCTAAGATCTTATTTAAGATTGATCTCAGATCTGGATATCATCAACTAATGATGGCCACTGATGACATACCTAAGACTGTTTTAGAACGCGCTCAGGCCACTATGAATATCTAGTTATGCCATTTGGATTGCCAAATGCTCCTGCCATATCCCAAAGCTTGATGAATTCTGTTTTCCATGCCTTTCTTAGGAAATATGTGTTGGTATTTTTTGATGATATTATGATCTATAATAGAACCTTGGAGGATCATTTATGGCACTTAAGGGCTGTCTTTCAAGAGATGCAGAAGCATCAATTGCATGCCAAGAAAAGAAAATGTTTCTTTGGGGTAAATAATATAGAGTACCTAGACCACTTCATCACGAAAGAATGTGTATTTACTGATCCACAGAAGATAGAAGTTGTAAAGCAATGGCCTATACCAGCAACTACTAAACAACTAATGGGATTATTGAGATTAGTTGGATACTATAGGAGATTTATTCAACTATTTGTGGGTAATACAGGCCACTAAATCTCCTGCACAAGGACAACTTCAAATGGTCACCACAAGCTATTGAAGCCTTTGAGAAGTTGAAGGAAACTTTGACCAATGCCCCTGCGTTGGCCTTACCTGACTCCACCAAGACATTTGTAGTGGATATGGTATTTGTGTTGTCTTAATGCAGCAAGGCCATCCAAATAGCCTTCATCAGCAAGGCCTTGTCTACTAGGCAAGCTGCACTTTTAGTCTATGATAGGGAGCTGCTAGCCTTAGTTCATGCAGTCACTAAATGGTCCCAGTAAGTTTATCATAAGGATAGAACATAGGGCTTTAAAGTATCTTATGGAGCAGAGGTTGCAAACCAAATCACAATTAATGTGGTTGACTAAATTAATGCCATTTTATTGTGTTATTGAATACAAGAAGGGAGTAGAGAATAAAGTTGCAGACACATTGTCAAGAGTTTCAGGAGCTGAACTGCTGGCTTTACAACTAATTCAGACTTGCTTCAAGCTATAGTGCACAATTGCTCTTCTGATAATGAGTTGAAAGCTCTTATTGAATAGAAGTCCAATCCTACTACACCCTCACAATTCACTTGGAATCACAACCAACCGAGGAGGAAGGGTAGGTTAGTGGAAGGGAAGGTGCAGAACCTAAGAATTGACATCATTAAACTACGGCGCTCCACCTGCAGGGTGGCCATTCTGGTGTGGATGCTACCCTCAAACGACTACTAACTCAGTTCTATTAGAAAGAAATAAGAGCTGATGTGAAGACCTTCATCCAAAGATGAGATATATGCCAAAAGAATAAAGTAGACTTAGCAGCTTATCCTGGTCTGCTGCAGCCTTTGCCTATAGCTGAGGTGGTCTGGTCTCAAATAAGCATGAATTTTATAGATGGCTTGCCTGAGTCTAAGGTCCATGAAGTGATCTTAGTGGTTGTTAATAGTTTGAGCAAATATGCTCACATCATGACCTTAAAGCACCCTTATACTGCTCAGTTAGTAGCCAAGACTTTTTTTTGATGTGGTTGTTAGACTACATGGACTCCCTGAGGCTATAACAAGTGATAGAGATGCAGCTTCCCGAGTTCATTTGGCAGGAACTCTTTTCATTACAAGGAGTCCAATTGAACACCTCTACAATATATCACCCCCAGTCAGATGTTCAGGGTGAAGTTTTAAACAAATACTTAGAAATATAATTTGAGGTTTGCAATGAAGACACTGCTGATTGGTATTCTTGCTACCTATGGCTGAATATTGGTATAACACTTCATACCATTCTGCCATTCACACTACTCCGTATGCGGCTCTATATGGTCGACCTCCCCCACTACATTTACCATACTTACCAGGTGAGTCCGCTTCAGTAGAGATCGACAATGCCTTATTGCAAAGGGAATTGAAGCTCCAACTACTTAAGTATCACTTGCACAAGGCTCAACTGAGGATGAAACAACAGGCCGATTCACACAAGACTAATAGGAATTTTTCAATGGGAGATTGCGTATATCTCAAGATACAACCCTACAAACAGTCTACTTTGTCTTCTCAACCATTCCATAAGTTAGCTGCTAAATATTATGGTCCATTCCAGGTGATCAAACGAGTTGGACCTATTGCCTATACATTGCTTTTCCCACCCTCAATGAAGATCCATCAAACAGTCCGTATATCCCTCTTAAGAAGTGCTATGCATTATTTGATCAAATTGCCTACAAACCTACTGTTGATATTGCTAGCCCCCATTGTCCTAATCCTAAAGCAATTTTACAAAGGCGTATGGTGAAAAAGGGGAATAAGGCTGTTGGCCAGGTGTTAGTTAAATGGTCTGGACTGTTAGTAGACCATGCTATATGGGAGTACTTCAATGTCCTTAAGACAAGGTTTCCTCATTTTGGTCCTTGTGGTCAAGGATCTTTTGCGGAGGAGAGTATTGATACGCAAATTGTCAACTGATGAAGCCACGTCGGCAGAGGTCGTTAGAGCCAGTTCAAAAAGTAGTTAGTACAATGTCAAGTTAGTTAGAGTTAGCTAGCTAGATTCACGGAATAACAAATTGAGCTGTAATTTCCATTTCCAATTGAGTAGTATAAATGACTGTACTGAATTCATTACAAATTAATGAGAAAGTATTACAATCTCCTATTCTAATTCTTCTTTTTCCAAATCTTCTTCTCTTCCATTTCTGGGCGGAACACTCGAGCTTCCTCTATAGAGCTCTTGTGCAACTACTGTATTCTCGATAACATTCCTGAAATCAAGTGTTGTTAACAATCTCCCCTCCCTCCCCCTTCCCCTCCCCCCTCCATACGAAAAAAAAAAGGCAAAAAGAATGCATATTAAAGAGGGCAAAAGGGCGTCACAAAGTTGAGCAAAAATAGAAAAATGGAGACGCCAGGTATCGAACCCAGTACCTCCCCCTTGCAAAGCGAGCGCTATTATAAGTACTTACTACTTACTACTATACATAGAATAGTAGTAGTGCTGTCGCAATAGAGTAATTTTCCCGCCATGGTCGCAGCAATGGAAGTGGACTCAGAGAGCAACCTTCTCCAGCGAAAACAGTCCCTCTACCATTCTTTGGTAGCATTTTACCAATAATTCTCTTGCTCCTACGCTCTTCTTTGCCCTTCAATTCAAAGCTACCGCAGTCAATTTGCAAAAAAATTCTTCCTTTTTATTTTATTTTTATACCTTAATTTCTAGGTTTTCATTGCTTTAACAGGATGAGAGTTTTGATATAGGGAAGGAGGTATACAGGGGACAGCAGTACAGTCAAATATATTATGCTAGGCTCCATTTGATGCGTACTCTCCTTTACTCTCTCATTCCCAATTGGAAACCCCATTTGCCTGGTAACTAATCTTACCCCCTTGCTTCCCTTCTTCTAGCAAAGTAAATATTTATCCTCTCTATCTCAATTTAAGTGACACTGTTTCCTTTTTAGTTTGTCACAACAAGAATTACAAACTTGTGTACGTTATTATTGAAAATTCTACAATTTTTCTTGAATAGAGGAATGGAAGAGTGCAAGTTGACCACTACTCAAAGAATTACAGTACTGAACTATTCATTTCACCTTCTTTTAATTCGTTACACTGGAAATTATGGTGGAAAAGTGAGTTGTAAAATTGTTCATCCTTTTATTTCCCCCTTCCGTTCCCCTTCACTTGGAAAACTAATAAAAGAGAACTGGGACTTTTGATTCTTTTTTAAGATGACTAATTGTACGATTCAACGTACAAATGCAAAGGTGATCATTACTAAAGGTTTCAAATTCCAAATGTGCTCTATGAGTTTCGAAAGTTTTATCTCTGATCCTCTTTTGATAAGTAAATTCGTCCTATTTTCTGGTGCCACCACTGACACTTATCTCCACTGTTTATTTTCACTGGTCTAACTGAAGCTTATGGTGGTCGTATATTGATTTTATCTTTAAAAGGTGGCTAAGTTAATTCCTACACAAGGTGGAGCACACGAAAGAGAAATTTGGAATTTGCACTTGTTACTTTAGCATCATTTAGAGCTTACCTATTGGTGGTTAGAAGGTTTACAATATCAATTGTTACATTTTCCCTGTGTTTTGTTTCCGTAACTACTGTATCTTGCATCTTGATTGCAGTCCGTACTGTTCTGGGATTAGAGGAAGGCAAAGAATGCATTATAGTTGGGACACTCTACAAGCACATGAAGCTAAAACCTTCTGTTCTCGATGAGTACTCTAAAGAGGTATAAAACGTTGATGACATAACATGTTGATTTTCCTGTCTAAAAGTTTATTTTAGAACCTTTCTTGTGCAGATATGCCTTGTACTTGTGTAAATATTTCCCGTCTTTAAGTCACTAATAATTGAGCTTGGTTGTACAGAGATCTTCTGCACCGCTTGTACAACGTCATAACTTTACGCACCCAGATGATAATTTAGTTCTGGAAGACGAGAGCGGAAGAGTCAAACTAAGTGGGTCTGTTCTTTTGCCATCTATATGTGTAACAGGTGAGTAGCTTTAGCTCAGTCCTGTCATGCAGCTGAACTATTTTTTAACTGATCTTGGCTGTACGATTGAGGCTTTTGGCTGGTTTTCTAAATTACGTTTTTGTTTGAAGATGTAGTCATTAACTGACATTGCATTTTCTATTAGAGAAAGTTTTTCTCCCTTTTGCAAGGGTAAGTTATCTGGCTTATAAATGACATGATTACTTTATTATGTATGCTGTTCTGTAGGTATGATTGCTGCATTGCATGGAAAAGAAACTAGTGCTGGTGATTTTTTAGTTGAAGATGTTCTAGAGGCTGGTCTACCACAGCAAATAGAGCGACCAATTGACTTAGGTATAAAGTACCAACTTCCCTGTTTTTAGTTTATCTGGTGATTTGTGCTTATGTTCATTGAGTACTGCATCCATACAGGCAACATTTTTAATTTTAGATCTCTAATTGACACACCTGGGGTTATTATATGATTAGAAGTTCCTGCACAAAAAAGTCGTTAAAACTTTCTTTGTATGCGTACTCTTTTTCCTAAGATTGTTTGATGAAAGCTATGTTTTATTCTATGTGAACAATGTAAATTTCAGTGGTGGAATTGAGTGATCCTGGTCAACACGTGATTTAAGCTTAGCATAACTGATTTTAGCATTCTGGTCATTTTTTCCAGCAAAGTTTATTTTCTTTCGTGTCTCTAATATCTTGTTGGAGTTTCACTTCCTACAAAGTCCCCTTATTTCACAACCCTAAAAGGGACTCGCTCGTGATGGCGCCTATCGTGAAACTAGGCCAGCCGACACAAACCCCGGAACCAATCCAACAATTATAGTAAGTCATTTAAAAGTCATTAATAAGCTGAAAACCCGAAATGTAAGATAGCATAGAACAGTGCGGAAACAAAACACAGCCCGCATCGGGGTGTCACCAGTCATGAGCAACTACAACTCGTCTAGAAATATAAAAAAAGACAACATAGTCTGAAACAGACTAATACAAAGCGGAATAAAGATAGGAAGGAGAAGCATTGGGCTGCGAACGCCAAACAGCTACCTAGTTAACTCCAAAAGCCTGCTGGAAGACAGATCAGCACTCGCTAGCGTGACCCGAGACTCCTGGATCTGCACACAAGGTGCAGGGAGTAATGTGAGTACGCCAACTCAGTAAGTAATAAAAGTAAAAGGCAGCTGAGCAGTAAGAAAACACGTAAACCACAGCATAATGCTACAACAAAACAGTATAAGTCCAGAACAATGTAGTAAAGCAGTAAAACTCATAAAAACATCTCAGTTCAGTAAAACCCTTTTCAATAGTTTCAAACGAGTGATGAAAGCAGTGAGTAAAAGGATAGAAACGTAAAACAGCCCCTCGGGCAAAACATGTACCATAACTGCCCCTCGGGCAAAATATCAATAGAACCAGCCCTTCGGGCTATCTCACAATCACTCGTATCAGCCCCTCGGGCAATAACATGAAACAACAACAGCCCCTCGGGCAATATCACATCTCACACTGGGTACCCGCGCTCACTTGGGGTGTACAGAATCCTGGAGGGGCTCCTACGGCCCAAGCGCAATAACAAGCCATCCGCGGCATAATCAAACAGGTCCTCGGCCTCATAACAATCACAAGCCACCTCGTGGCATAATAAATCAGGCCCTCGGCCTCTGAAAGATCACAAATCAGTACCACATGCTGCGGCGCGCAGCCCGACCCCATAACATCCTCACAACACAGGCCCTCGGTCTCACTCAGTCAAAACTCACTCAAGCCCCTCGGGCTGACAGTAAAACAAGTACTCGGCTGAAAATATCATTTTTGAAATCAAGAGGAGTGAATAAAACCGAGTTATAGCAAGACTGAGTGTAAATATCAAACCAAAAACAGTGAGGAAGTCAGTAGTAAAAGCCCCTAAGGGTCCAAACAATCGGCACACGGCCCAGACACGACATTTAGTCCCAAACACAATAATACTTTCCAAAATATAACAATATCAAATAGTTTTCAACTAAATACGCGACTTAATAGTCGTACGGGACGGACCAAGTCACAATCCCCAACGGTGCACGACCCCACGCTCGTCACCTAGCCTGTGCGTCACCTCAAAATAGCACAACGATGTGAAATTCGGGGTTTCATACCCTCAGGACAACATTTACAATCATTACTTACCTCAATCCGGTCCAAACTCTAGCCCGCGATGCCCTTGCCTCTCGAATCGGCCTCAACACTCGCGTCGAATCTACCCAAAATCAGTATCATAACATTAGAATATGCTAAGGGAACGAAGCCCATGCGAAAATAATCAAATTGCATCAAGAAACCCGTAATTGGCCAAACCCGATCCCCGGGCCCACGTCTCGGAATCCGACAAAATTAACCTCAATGGAATCCTTATCCTCTCACGAGTTCATACATACCAAATTTACCAAAATCCAACCACAAATGACCCCTCAAATCCCTAATTTTAGGTCTCCAATTTCAAGCCCTAGTTTTCTTCAATTTCAACCACTAGTTTCCATAAATTACAAGCCTAATTCGTGAAATAACACCATAGAAACGAGTTTTATGTTTAAAAATCTTACCTCAACGAAGTTCCCTTGAATTCCCTCTTCAAAATCTCCCAGAAAGCTCCAAAATCGATTTAAAATGGTGAAGAAGAGCTGAAAATCGCGAAGGGCCAAATATATATGTTCTGCCCCAGCTAAACCGCTTCTGCGGTACAAAATCTCGCACCTGCGGATTCCAGGTGCGCACCTGCGGTCCCAGGTGCGCATCTGCGAAAAATCACTTATCCGCCCATCTCGCACCTGCGCTCAAACATCCGCACCTGCGCTATCGCAGGTGCGCTCGAACAACCGCTTCTGCGGTTCCAGCTCCCCATGCCCATTTCCGCATCTGCGACCCTCTGGGCGCTTCTCCGAGCCCGCACCTACGGTCCCCAAGCCGCAGGTGCAGTTATGACAGGAGCTTCAACACTTCAGCTACAAATTCCAACTCTAAACCTCCCGTCAACCATCCGAAATCACCCCGAGGCCCCCGGGACCTCAACCAAAAGTACAGACAAGTCATATACCACCATCCGAACTTATACCAATCTTTGAAACACCTAAAACAACATCAGAACATCAAATTAACCATGGATTCAAGCCTAAGAACTCCAAAAACTTTCGAATTCCGCTTTTGATCAAAAAGTCTATCAAACCTCGTCCGAATGACCTGTAATTTTGCACACACGTCACAAATGACACCACAGACCTACTCCAACTTTCGGAATTCCATTCCGACCTCTATATCAAAATCTCCGCTACCAACCGGAAAACGCCAAAATTCCAATTTCGGCAATTCACGCCTAAATCTACTCCGGACCTCTAAAACTCATTCCGATCACGCTCCTAAGTCCCAAATCACCTCCCGAAACTATCCGAATCATAAAAACCAAATTCCGAGATCGATTGCTCACAAGTCAACTCCCGGTTGACTTTTTCCAACTAAAAGACCAACTTAAGAGACTAAGTGTCTCAAACCCTTTCCAAAACCATTCCAGATTCGAATCGACTCACTCGATACCATATAACATAGATGAACAAAGTATAAATAAGCAGAAATGGGGGAAAACGGAGCGGTAACTCATGAAACGACCGGCCAGGTCGTTACATCCTCCCCCTTTAAACGAACGTTCGTCCTCGAACGAGTAAAGAAACATACCTGAAGCCTCAAATAGGTGAGGATATCTGCTCCGTATCTCCCACTCGGTCTCCCAGGTAGCCTCCTCCACGGGCCGACCTCTCTACTGCACTTTCACTGAAGCTATGTCCTTTGATCTCAACTTTCAAACCTGACGCTCCAAAATAGCTGCTGGCTCCACATCATAGGTCAAATCACCCTCTAACTGAATCGTGCTGAAATCCAGAACATGAGACGGATCCTCAATATACTTCCAGAGCATAGAAACATGAAATACCGGATGCACACTCGACAAACTGGGTGTCAAAGCAAGCTCATAAGCCACCTCCCCAATCCTCCGAAGCACCTCAAAAGGCCCAATGAACCAAGGACTCAATTTACCCTTCTTCCCAAATCTCATAACACCCTTCATGGGTGAAACCTTCAGGAGAACCTTCTCCCTAACCATATAGGACACATCACGAACCTTCCTGTCAGCATAACTCTTTTGTCTCGACTGTGCTGTACGAAGCCTCTCCTGAATCACCTTCACCTTGTCCAAAGCATCCTGCACTAAGTACGTACCCAAAAGCCTGGCCTCGCCCGGCTCGAACCATCCAACCGGAGATCTACACTGCCTCTCATATAAGGCCTCATATGGAGCCATCTGAATACTCGACTGATAGCTGTTGTTATAAGCAAACTCCGCGTGCGGTAAACACTGATCCCATGAACCTCCGAAGTCAATCACACAAGCGCGCAACATGTCCTCCAATACCTAAATAGTGCGCTCGGACTGCCCGTCCGTCTGAGGGTGAAAAGCTGTGCTCAACTCGACCTGAGTACCCAACTCTCTCTGCACGGCCCTCCAAAACTGCAAAGTAAACTGAGTGCCTCTATTTGAAATGATGGAAAATGGACACCATGCAAGCGAACAACCTCTCGGATATAGATCTCTGCCAAACGCTCTGAAGAATAGGTAGTACAAATAGGAATGAAGTGCGCAGACTTGGTCAGCCGATCCACAATCACCCAAATAGCATCGAACTTCTTCAATGTCCGTGGGAGCCCAACTACAAAGTCCATGGTGATCCGCTCCCACTTCCACTCTGGAATATCCATCTGCTGAAGCAAGCCACCCGGTCTCTGATGCTCATATTTCACCTGCTGACAATTGAGACACCGAGCTACAAATCCCACAATATTTTTCTTCATCCTCCACCAATAATGCTGTCTCAGATCCTGATACATCTTCGCGGCACCCGGATGAATGGAATACCGCGAGCTATGGGCCTCCTCCAGAATCAACTCCCGAAGCCCATCCACATTGGGCACACAAATCCGGCCCTGCATCCTCAACACCCCCATCATCACCAATGGTCACATCTCTGGCATCATCGTGCTGAACTCTGTCCTTAAGGACAAGCAAGTGAGATTCATTATACTGACGCTCTCTGATGCGATCAAGTAAGGAAGACCGAGAAATCACACAAGCCAATTCCCGACCGGGCTCCGAAATATCCAACCTCACGAATCGATTGGCCAAGGCCTGAACATCAACTGCAAGAGGTCTCTCCCCAACAGGAATAAATGCAAAACTGCCCATACTCACCGCCTTCCGGCTCAAAGCATCGGCCACTACATTGGCCTTCCCCGGATGGTACAAAATAGTAATATCATAG